TCTGGATATGCAGATAGATGTTTGCAAGGAAATAAATAACTAAACTGAGCTCATCTCCATTTGACCCCTGGGGAAGCATCTTTCTCCAAAATAAAATAATAAACAAGAACATGTTTCAGTTCTGAGTGTGAGGGAACGGAGTGACTGCTGTTTTATAATAAGATGATAATTAAAAAAGGTGCAGCTTTTTGATTATTCTTCCTTTTAAGTCCCGATTTTGTCTCGCTACGACTAACACAAAAACAAAACAAAAAAATCAATATAAAAAAAAAACCACATCAAAAAGTGTGTTTTGATTGGAGCTAGTGTGCCATGACTTCTCGTAGCTGGTCATTTTAAGGCTTAAATGAAATTCAGGAGAAAAGAAAAATCTCCACAACGAGAGGCAAAATCTGTGAAATATAACTTTTCCCCCTCAAATTACAGACCTTGTTTAGATATTGTTTGTTCTTGGTGTTAAATATTATTTCTGAGCAACCAAGCGCTGTACCCCCCACCCCCCAGAGGCAACAGCAGGGAGGAGCTGCAGTCTATTTAAAAGGCAACAAGAAAAGAGCAAAAAATGGTGATTTCAATACTAATTTTTCTTTTTAGATAACTTTGTCTTCGTGATCGTTTGAAGCAAAAATCAAAACTTCCAATTCTTCATACAGTAGTTCCTCGTTTATCGCGGGGGTTATGCTCCAGACGCCGCTGCGGTAAGTGAAAAATTGCGGTAAGTGAAGAATTGCGATAAGTGAAAAATTGCGATGTAGCAACGCTATATTTAGTTTAGTATTTATATATATATATAGTACTGTATTTTTCGGACTATAAGGTGCACTTAAAATCCTTTAATTTTCTCAAAAATCGACAGTGAGCATTATAATCCGGTGAGCTTTATGTATTAATTCTGGTTGTGCTTACTGACCTCGAACCGATTTTATCTGGTACAATTGAATAATGTTGAGCGTTATTGTGAAGGAGTTGAATAAGTTTGACTTATCTGAATGTTTTGTTTTGCTTAATGCGCCTTATAATCCGGTGCGCCTTATGTAGGCCTGTCATGATAACAACTTTTGCTGGGAGATTAATTGTCTCAGAAATTATTGCGATAAACGATAATATTGTTTGAAATTTGACAAGAATTAGTAACTATTGTCAAATTTATGAAGAAATGTGGGTTAATTTATGTGTAGTACATTTTGTGACCACTGGATGGCAGTATAGGACCATTTGTACCGAAGGATTTGTGATAGTGAGGGAGCGAGCAGCATGTCTCTAAGAAAAATGGGAGGGAGGCCCCTTGACGTGACATGGGCTGTCACTCGTTTGTGTTTTTTGGTTTTCAAAATGGCAGACGCTCGGTTTGTTTTGAGCTCTTTAGCATAGCATTTTTCACACAAAGCTTTTAATAAATAAAAAAAACAGTAAACAAGTTCTCAGCTTCTTTTTGCAGAGAAAAACTTTTTAGACAAAGGCACAGGTTTCAACTGTGAATTCTGGAGCTTCGACAAGACGGAGTTTTTTTTTTTTCCTGAGATCTCGGCCTGTTAGCTTAGCTTGTAGCGTAGCTGCTTTAAACGATCCAAAAACACGATTTTGACCGGTTAAAAACAGATTTTAAAGAGAAAGGGAGGGGTCAGTGAAGAGCACCCAAGTTGAGCCTTTTGTCATCCAATGTCCAGTAGAAAGAGAGAGACACAAAGAAACAATAAAGATGATAAATGAAAATGAGGATGATAATTTTCATTTATCATGTGACTAAATGATTTATCGTTTATTGCGATAGGTCTAGCCTTATGTATGAAAACAGACCAGTTCATTGATATTGTGCCTTATAGTCCGAAAAATACGGTAAGTCTTTATAAACCCTTCCCACACTCTTGCAATGTTCTAAACTCTTTAACCTATGTAATTTTAACAACATACGTATATATACTGTACAGTATTGCAAAATTTTACTCATCAATTCTGCAGAACAGCAGCTCTGTTCTGGTTCTGCAGACCTACCCTGCAGCAACGAAGCCCACCAGGTCGATGTGTGCGTGGATAATTGCGCTTCAGGATTATTTGTGACTTTCCTGCCAGTTCTGTGAGCTTCATAGATAGTGTAGAATTGCGTCGCAAAACTTTCCCACTATTTTGGCATAAAGCAGCGGCTGGAAGCACTGTTGGATTCTGGGTAGTGTACCGTATTTTTCGGACTATAAAGGTGCACCGGAGTATAAGGCGCATCAAGCGAAACAAAACCGTCAGACAAGTCAAACTTTATTCAACTGAATAACTGTCAACATTGTTCAGATGTAACACATAAAATCAGTTCGAGGTCAGTAAACACAACCAGAATTAATACGTAAGGTGCACCTGATTATAAGACTCACTGTCGATTTTTGAGATAATTAAAAGATTAAGTGCAATTTATAGTCCGAAAAATACAGTAGTTCTTTTTGACTGGCATTACAGTATAAGCTTATTGTAAGAAAACTACAAAATGTCAAGGCCTGCCCGAAGTTTTTTCGTTAACTTTTTATCCCATGCCGTAATATCAAAGTTGACAATCGTTAAAAAAAACGCGAAAGAGCGAGTCCACGAAAGTCGAACCACCAAGTAGCGAGGGACTGCTGTATTCACACTTGTACACTTTGTACAGTTCATATTACAAAATGTACAAGTAGGGCTTTCTAGTACAGTTAATTAGTATTTTCAACTACAGAGTAAAAGTCCAGTCACTATATTTTTTCTTCTTTTACTTTTAGATTCAACGAGTGTGTCTGTCACAGCTGTAAAACAGATAAAGTCAAGTTTCCACAGACTTCCTCTGTAGCAGAGCTTTCACTTTTCTCTACAAAACAAGAAGTGAAGGATCTGCAGACACATAAAAATTGATTCATTGTAGTTCATGCATTCTACTCAACGCATCTTGTAGAGTTGTACATGACTGTTTGAGGCTTAATTTCGAGGCTGTGTTTCTGTCTGTCTTCACATGTCACACAGTTTATACAAGAAACAGATATTTTGTCAGCTTAGATTATAACCAAAGTAAGTCATAAATTACAATTGATCTCTATTGGAGAAGGCTGATGTTGGATATTTGGGCAGTCGCTGCGCTGGAACTTCAAAATATCTTCAGACGTTTCTAGTCGTGTGAATGTTTATGAATCATTCACACAGTTATGATCCGTTTGTCTTTTGTACATTGTTTTGGCATCTTTCTCGTTTCACAATTTTTGTGCTATTTCAACAAATCATAAATCAAAACGTTCAGCTCGTTCAGTAGAAGGGTGCTTTGACTTTTAGGATTGGTGCAACTTTAGCTTTTTGAGATATTTAGCCTTTTCTGACATTTTTTTCCTCATTGGAAATGTATCGAGCTCATTTTACATCCTTCAAATAATCTTTTACTGCTGCTCCTTTCACATTTTGTTCTGCTTCAGCTTCTTTCAGCATATTTAAACTTTATTCAGCTACAGCTGTTTTTTCAGCTGTTTAGTGCTCCTTTCAGCTTCTTTCTGTCAACTACAACATTTTTGTGCTTCTTCTATCTTCCTTTTGCTAATTTCAGCTTATTAGTCTCCTCTCAGCTTATTTATGCACTTTTCAGCCTTTTCTGCTATTTCAGCTACTATTTAGCTGTTTTTTATGCTAATTTTACCTTTTTCAGCTAATTCCATATTTTTTGAACTCACTTCAACTTGTTTCAGACCAATTCTGCAAAAATGTGCTCTCTCCATGTCCTTGTGCTAATCTAAGCTTCTTTCTGCTATTTTAGCTACTTTTCTGCCGTTTTTTTTTTTATTGTTAATTTAAGCTTTTTTCAGATAATATTCACTTCTTTGTGCTCATGCTTCTTTGAGCCTAATTAGGCAAACATGTTTTTTTTTTTTTGCTTTCTTCTGCCAATTAAAGTTTATTCTACCTTTTCTGCTATATTTTTTTTAGCATTTTTAGCTAATTTCAGCGGTTTTCAGATAAATTCAAGTTTTGAGGTAATTTCTGCTACTTTCAGCCTAATTAAATTCATGCTTATTTCATCTTGTTATAATCTTTTTAGCTTATTTCTGCTCCTTTCAACTTTTTCTACTATTTTTGCTAATATCTGTTTTATACTAAATTCAGCTTTTGCAGCTAATTCCACATTTTTGATAGTTCATTTTAGCTCTTTCCACTTCCTTCTGGTAGTTTCAGCATCTTTATGCCTTTTCAGTTTTCAGCTTTTTTCTTTTTTTTTTTTTTACTAATTTCAGCTTTATTTAACTAGTTTCTTGATTTTAGTGCTCATTTATGCTAATCTAAACCCAATTAAGCAAACATGTTCTTTCTGTTCTCTTCTGCTAATTTAAGCTTGTTCTTCCATTTCAGCTACATTTCAGCATGCATTTTTTAAGCTAATTTCAGCCGTTTCTAAGCAAGTCCTTCTGCAATAAGCATTCACACTGCATTTTTGCAGAAAATGCGAATTCTCTAGTTTTTAAGCATTTTATTTTTATTTTTGTCTAAGCTCGGCCTTTGATGGGCGCCCACATCTCAGCATCTTCACTTTCACACGTAGATAAAAGCTTTCCTTCCCCGCCTCGAAGAGATCAAGCTAAACTCCTGAAGTGAAAAAGAAAAATAATAATAAATAAAGAAAATCAAGGTGTGCGAGCTGATTTTCATTGCTGGCTTTGTTTTAAGGAAGCTAAATAAAAACCTGTGAGGATGACATCTGCTTTATATTTGAGTCGGCCTCGTCGAGGCTTACCGCCGAGCTCTGAAAGAAGTTGGATTATAATTAAACCCTAGATCAATATTCTCCATTTCTTTGTGCAAGAGGAGCTAATTTTCACCCCATCCTTGCAGGATTTCTTCTGTTCACGTGGCGTACAGTAACATTTCAGCTTCTTTTGTTTTTCAGGGTTTGATAGCTGATTTTGTTTTTTCTTCATATCAGATGCATTTGCAATGCAAGCAGCCATCACAAGATCTGCTTTGTGCTGAGCTGGTGCGTGAGAGGAGCGCCGAGAGGGCACGACACTTACGTTCAAGGCATTCTTAGCAGCCTCCGCCTCTGATCGGCTGTCAAAGCTGACAAACCCCACCGGCTGGGAAGACGAGGAGACAGAACAAAAGAAGAAGAGGAAGAAAAACATGGTTTAAGGGAGAAAACTGAGTCGGCATTTCTGTCTGAGTGACAAAGACAAGTCGTTCTTTTTTTATATTTTCCATTTCTTATCATTCTCAACTCCCCCCCGTCTTGTTGCGTCTCTTGTCCTGTTTATAAAAACTGTGGCAACAGAGGGGGGAGAAAGGGGAAGGGGGGTGGATGCAGGCTGAACTTTTAGTTTGTACAAAGGGAGTTCATTGCTCGGCTCCCCTTTGTCCAAATACGGGCAATGTAAGAGCTCGTGTTCGAAAGGCAGGAAGGGGGGGGGGGGGGGGGGG